CGAAATTGTTGACGAATCATTTAGATGAGCCCAATACAGCATAAGCTTTCCTTTTATTGCTTTAGCTACTTCATGTTATATATTAACTTCTAGGTTTACATTGTTGTTTAAATGTATATTAAGGCCACGGAATATCATACGCAAGTCGCCTTGGGTGGGAAGTGAAGAAGAAGACAGCATCACGGTTACATAGTACATGGGTTCAAGAAGAACCAGCAGGTTCTGTAATTAATATATAATTAGTCAAAGGTCGAATTGGTTATTTTATACAATAAGAAAAATATTAAAAATTAAGTTATTAACAGAAATAACATTCCATTCTTGTTCACTTAGATAATTTGATTTAATGCTTAGTTACTCGCGACAAAAATATTGGTCATGGGACGAATTCATTGAAGCTTCTCTAGCATGATGTACAAGCTGTTCCAACGGGTTTTAACGTTGGTTTCTGGCATTAAAAATGGAACATTTTTCATCTCAAAATTTTTTTTAATTCTCTAATTAATGATAGAGAGTTTCTAAGTTTTATTGAAAATTCTCTTGCTTTTTTAATTTCTTTGCTGATTAATTTTATTCCTTCTTCAACACCAAGGTTAAGAACGTGGGCGCCACAACGAAAATGTTGTACACTTTCATTATTAAATTCAACATGTAGCTTTTCTTTTAAAATACGTCTCATTGAGATCATGTTACTGGCATTGTCCGTCGTAATACCCAAAAGCTTCTGGCCGATACCCATTTCTTTTAAGAGTTTAATTATCATATCTGCCTGGTTTGCTGCAGTATGGGCTTCATCGAATGGAATGAAGTCGAGTAGGATTCGATGCAATTTCTATTCTGAATCTATCCAGTGGGCGGTTACACCAATATATGGCTGCTGGGTACATGACATCTAACCATCCATTGTAATTGAGATCTTTGATGAAATTTGGTTTAAAAAAAGTTTAAGCTTAATTTTATTGACCACATATCGTTGACGGATCCAAGTAGAGAGAGTTTGGCAGCATGGTAATTTATATCGAGGGTCGAGTTCTTGTATGAAGTTAATGAATTCTACACTTTCGCTTAATAAAAATGCTTGCTGGTCCACGATTATCCATTCTAATAACTTATCATTTAAGGCATCCACCTTTAATTTATCATTTGGACTATAAGGGTTGAGTCGCTTTTGTTTAAGTTTACTAATAATAGTATATTCTAATGGGTGAAAATTCTGAAAATGCCTATTAATGGTCATTATTGCGGTTAAATTTCCAAATAGTTGTTCGCAAATCATATACTTTTTACCTCCATCAGAGGTTGGTATAAGATAGTCCCTAATAGGTGATCGGTTGGTATGCTTTCGTGTTTTATTTTCTGAATTATCTGGAGATGATGCAGTTTCTTCACTTGCTGATGTCTCATCATTTGAGGTTTCTCTATCAATGAGTTCAAATTCGTCATTTTCCATAATTTGAATTTTTTTTTTAAAATTTTTTTTTTTTTTCTTAATTTGCTTTGCTTTTAAATGTTTTACCACTATTGTTGATAGAAATTGTGAAAAATAAAAGACAAAATGTACGACATCTTGTTATTTAAGATTGGATTGGATCTTTGTTATTTAAGATTGAATTGGGCCTTTGTTACTTAAGATTAGATTAGGCCTTTGTTACTTAAGATCGAATTGGTTTGCGCTTTTGTAACTAAAAACTTTAAAGACAAAATATATCGTCTTTGCTATTTAAGATTGAATGAGAAGATGGCTAACTTTTCTAAGATGTGTGCTTTTGTAACTAAAGATTAAATTAGGCCTTTGTTACTTAAGATCGAATTGGTTTGCGCTTTTGTAACTAAAAAACTTTAAAGACAAAATACAT